GTCGTCTCATCGTCTACTCCACCTAAACACTACTGAAGAACACACCGCTTGCCACTAATGAAGAACAGCGATATCTTTTAGCATCAAAATTCGTATGGAATGTTGAAGGTTATGCTAATGTTAACATGATTTTTACCCAAGATGTAGCCAAACGAGATGTTTCCCAGTATTTTCTTCACTTCCGCCAGTTATCTTTTGTTCTGTCTCTAATTGTTTCTACAGTTTTCAGTTAAATTTTTTCCCAAACAATTGATACCCGTTCAAATGACGGCTCTGACAGATACAAATAAATAAATTATAGAAATGCAAATGAGTTTTCGTCACAACTTCAATAGAGCATAGGTATGAGGATAACAAGAAGGTTGACAAGAGGAATTGAGGCTGATTTCTATTTCATTCTCTATTCCAAGATTTGTCTATGCTAATAAACTGTGACTGCAACAGGTAGAAGAGAAAATATTTTGTTAGATTTACTCGCTTCCGACGCTATGATGAAGCGTATAGCAGGAATAACCCCTGTGAAAGATGTGAAAGCGGTAGATGTCTCCATCGAGAGAAGCATAATATAGAAAGAAAAGTTTTTAGTCATCCGTTATCGATGGAACCCACTTCTGGGCTACTAGAATAAATCCGCTTAGAATCATCATTAAGGGAGTCCATTTCTCGAAGGTCATGAAACGCGCGCGGTATCGTGCGCAGCTCAACTGGTGTAAACAAAGGTGCATATGGATTCCATTGCTATTCGTGATGAGAAGATTTAAATACATTGCCATAAACTGACACCAATCATTTTGGGACATCCTACATGTGCGAAAACTATGTACTTTGTAACTAGTGTATTTGATGAACTAAGACTTTCGATCATCAGTAATTTGTTTGATATACCTAAGCACATAATTATACACATATATCTATCTACATATATCTTAAAAGCACATCTATAACCTACGAATTTATTTTAAATTTTGACTTTACTGGTAACGGTAAATTCTTTAGCAAACCATTATCCATCAGGATAATAATCATATTTTCTATATTATGGATGTGCTATTATAGGAGCTAATGTACGGAATTTTGTGTAAATAATCGAAGGCTTGTTATTCCTTGGAACCTCTTGCTAAAACCACATGAGAGCGCATAGGTGACCGGCGCTCACCCTCTCTTTCGTCCCTGATACCTGCTAGTATTATGCGGATCAACAGGAAATACTGTGTAATACTGTGTTGATCACCTGTGTACGAAACACTACCGTTATTTGTAGAGAGTTATGTAGAAATGAGGTTTTGATAGGATGATTGTAGGTGAATCACATTGTAATCAACTGTGGCATATAAGACACATGAAGGGTGTTTCCTTCATTCTTCTTATTCGTCTTCACCATTTCGACTCCTTCCTCACTCGCTGCTGTACGTCGTCCAACAATAAAGTGAAAAGCACACAGGAGTACGACAGAAGCGCAAGAAGACATATCCAGTAAAGGCGTGGCAGGCAAACAAGCACTCTGCTTACATATCTGGCCACACCCTCACCACAACCTGTTATACTAACACTGTTACGTGTGCCATCCCTCCCTGACTACATTTTAATCCAGCCTTCAAGTAAAGATTCTGCTAAGTATCAACAAAGACTTTGAGTTCAGAGCGCTGGAACGGCTTACTGGGGCTTTCGCTAACTCTGCATTTATGTTGCTCCAGCCAAGTGGATCTTTATTCCCTTCAAGTTCTTCGAGGAGGACTCGCACGAAATGATGTTGACTTACTTCTGTTTTCTCCCTGGGGAGAAGGTGTTCTGAAGTTTGCTGTTGGATTTCCTTTGCTGTTGGATTTCCTCCTCCCTTGGAATGTTCAGCTGGGAAATTCAGTTAATTTTTTGATTGGTTGGAAAGGACTAATTGAGTTGCCTGCTTCGCCAGTTAAGAGCCGACTAAGTCGGGTTTTTAGACTCTCTTCATCATCTGGGACGAGTATTAGAAGAACTTTCTTCTATCTCTCACAGAAGAGCAGACGAAAAAATCGCCTTGATTCAGGTAGGGTTCATGAAGAATTATGACTTTTGTATTGGTTTTACCTGGTGGAAAACAAGTGCTTGCCAAACTTCTGTGATCCTTGAGGAGGAGTTTGCAGAGAATTAGGCTTGATTGATGCATCCTCTGTTTCTCACTGTGGAGAACTCGCGCAGAAGAGGAAAAGAGAGTTGGATTTTAACGATCGATACACTAGCTCGGCTGATAACTAATAGGTCTTACCGCACACGTGCAGAGATTTACAAGGTGTACAGTAACAGACAGTAATACAGAAGTTGCAAGTTCACATGCATATGAATATGGGCGGTGCAAAGAAACCATATCGTCAGGGACTGTGGTAATGTATTCAGCAGTGGGATGCAGAGCGCACGCCAAACCTGAATGATTACTCGATTGCCCATTCAAGATACCAATCGATGATGAATTCGGTGTCGCTTGTAGAAGCACTTATCAGAAATATCACCTGAGGTGAACAATTACAATTAGTCTGAACCCACCGCGATTCTCCTGAAAGCAGTCAGCTCTTTTCGAGCGCCTTGCAATGGCCCGAAACCCGAGAAATGGTCTCAGTCACCCTGTGAGAGCTGTTGCTTCCATGTATTAAGGCTTGTTTATGAAAGGCACTCACCAGAAAGCACCTTATACTTCGTTTTCGACAAGTTTGGAAAACAGATTCAAAATCAGCCCCGGGAAATACGTAAAGCAGTGTAATTCTCATTTCAAACGGCCACTGGACGTGGGATCCTTCCCTTCCTAGACCATTTTCGAATGCACGTGAATTTTCATATGTGGGGCACACGTAAGGGAAGTTCTGCTAACATTATCACTCTTGTCTCGAAGGTGTCATGTTGGTTAACCAGTTCCAAAATATGGGAGCATCAGTTGTTTGAAATGAGATAGGTTTCTCCAATCTCGGAGCTGGTTATTCCACTTACAACTCAAGTTCCAGCTTCGTTCTATCGTCGGTGTTTGCAATTTCGTCGCCAGTGTGAATACAACTTTTTTTTGCTTATGAGTGTTCACATATCTTTGTTTCAAAAAAAAAAAACGACACAGTCTTAATCTCTCAAACGTTAAGAGTCGAAATGGAGAGCGGTGCGACGACGGCTGTGACATAATGATATCATTTTCATGTGAGGGTCATGAAGTCTGAAGTCTACAACTTGAACCTGATTAGTGATACTTCCACATATAATCACAACCAATTGAGGCGAAAAATAGTAGGAAAAATTACGGTAGATCATATCCAGTATCCTTTTTTTAACTAGCGATTTTCGTCGTTTTTTGCACAGACGCAGGTGCTCTACGCGTGATGCGGCCTAGATTCAATATGACGTATCACCTCCCACTTTTTGTCGCTTTTATGTGCTGAATGATAATGTACTAGGGAGGCACGACCTGAAAGACAGAACGTATAAACACCAGGTTTAAGATAAAACTTCAAAAAAGATAAAAAGTCGCACCCGAGGGATCCTGATTGGCTTGCCATTTTGGAATCCATTTCCGGACTGTTTTCGCCGCATTGTCACTGGGGAACATCTCGCGGAATAATTTTCTCATGTAGAATGCTTCCTTACTATGAGGTGTATTGTAAGAAAAAAGCTCTTCTGCTTTAGAAAACTAAAACGAAAATATTTGAAGAGGTCGGTAGGTTACATACACTCCATCACCAGAAGCGCAACGCGTAATGCTCAATTCGCCCGCAGCTCACTGATTCCTAGCAAGTTGAACCGCCAAGCACCAATGCGTTGGTGGATAAAGGTCCGTCAACCTATTTCTGGAGAAGAAATGTTGAAGACAAGATATGAGAACTTCAAGGATCCAAGTTTATCAATACTGCCTCAAGAACTGGTTCTTCTATTCACATCTCGCTTGCCTGACTACAGTAAACTTGATTTGCTGAGAGCCTCATAGACGAAGAAACAGGCTAAATTGACACGCACTATCTAATTCTCTGTACGCTTGCCATGGCTTGCTGATGGAGATATCGTCTTAACAACACAATCCTGGTCATAACAGATTTCCAGCTCACCTCTTCGTCAGTAACCTGTTGAGCACAAAACTCTATCAACTCTTCGATCCATGAGTATCCTACTCCATCAGAAAATTGCTCCTTTTGCCTCCACAGGATTTCATGTGGGAGGTAGGTCTGAAACGGCGAGGCTAACTCTTGAAAATAATTGTTTTCTATGTTCCAGTCACTCCGATCATTACGAATGAGATGAATGCTCAGACTATTGGTTGACTTACGTCAGCATCAAAAGCCTTTCTAAGTAGGTATTTCTCTACATTCCGTCCGCTGAGCGACTGTGGACGTTTGTATTTGGCTGCTGTCAACATGGCAGCATCCAGGAATGCCTGCATACGACGAAATCACTCCCTTATTTACAGTGGTAGTTTCTCTACTGCTTCCAACCTTATCAAGGAATGGAACACGAACTTCTACAGAATGGGCCATTGTTGACTTGTCTGCACGGAGACAATCAGCAGTAAATAGGTGTAGGACGCGATCAATGGTTTCCTAAATTTGTAACAACTCATTGTCAGTCGAACTATATCCCAGTAACACTAGCTGTTACCCCAAGGCCCTCACTTTTTGAAATTCGTCATCATCCGGAGCATTGTGGAAGTATAAATATCCGCCGAAAATCTCATCTGCTCCTTCTCCAGAAAGCACAACCTGAATCAGTAAGGTGTTTCAAAATTATGAGTTGTTGCACTAACCGGTCTCCCTTCGAGTCTTACCTTTATGCCCATTTGTCTGATGCTTTCCGAAAGAAAGAACATGGGCGTTGAAGCTCTGATGGAGGTAACATCGTATGTTTCGAGGTGCCATATTAAGTTGCGAAGGTTCTTCAAACCATCCTAAAGTCCGCCAAATTGAATTAATGCTTCTGAGCAACCGTTTTCTGGAACTGGCGGCAGTTTATTGGTTTTCATTGACTCTGTGGATCGAGTTGCCTCATGCGCGAGAGAGTATGGGCGCAGGAAAGCTCACCCCACTAGTCACGTCAGTATTCCTTAGCGCGTCTCCAATGGATGAAAGTAGGAGCGTTCCGCCACGATTCAATCACGATGAGCCCGCGGCAAATAAATTCCGCGAGACGACCGAGGTGGAGCGGCTCAAACCGCGGCGTCCTTGCCGCGACTTACGTGCAACCTTTACGCCCGTGGTGCACGGAGAGAAACCGTGCTCCAATGCAGGACCGCAGCGCGCAACGCTCAAATGGTGGAATGTGCTAGAAGCGCGGGAAAGATATCGAGCGAGCTCGCGCCTTGCAATCAGCCTGAATTCTTTCATCATCAGTAGCCATCAGTGGTTGCACTCGCCAAGTTCAGTCATAAGTTGCATGCCGCTCGTCTCAGGAAACATGTCGTCAGTCAATACTATCAATGTCGACGTCATCGGTTGAACCCAATAACATCAGCATGGCGGACCAGCTGCAGCCAACCGTATGTCATCTTTAGTCTCAGATTTGCTGACCTTTCTATCTGCATACTCTTTTCTCTTTTCTTCATCAATCTCTTTATTCATGCCTTTTTTGTCATACACATTTATCGTATAATATCTTTATTGTAAATGAACATGTAAGATAACTTCTGTACTTTCTCTATACGTATAATCGTCAGCATTTTTGTCATAATGTTGTGTCCTATACAGTGCTTTCAAAAATATGTGCACACCTAACATTTTGTTTTTTTGGGAATACTATTGCTTTCTGTAACCTGTAACCTTCTTCATTCAATTCCCTGTGTGCGATAACCTACGAACACTTCCTCTGAGGAAACATCGTAGCTGCTAACACAACTTATTATTGAAGAAAAATTTTTCCTTTGTTCCAAAAGTATGTGCACACTTAGTAAAAAACAAATATATGGCCGAGATCAGAAATCAATAGGGCCCCCTAAATATTTGTATAGATTGTCGACCACGAGGAATTGTTTGAGAATGGTTCCGTTACGGCACGTTCTTTAGTTACCTTTGAAATGAAAAATTTCGAGTGTGCACATCTTCTCGAAACGGCAACTGAGCCGCCCATTTTCAAGCATTGCTAGGTTTGTTCGAGACCCTGGCAGCTATCGCACACAGCCTATTCCTGACCGTCCACGTATTTTGAGTGCTCAGGACAATAGGAGAATAGACCGTCTTGTGGCGAATACTTTTTTGTCTGTGAGTCAGATCCGAGCTCAGATGGGTTTATCAGTCTCATGTACGACCCTTTGGCACTCTATGCGCTCTAATGAGTATACCACACGAGAGACGATGAAGAAGGCTAGTCGACTCAATACTTGCCACAAGCGGACAAGGCTGGAGTTTACTCGTGGGAACATGGCAACATCATGGAACATGGTACGGTTGTTCGAGAGTTTTCAGGATTTTCGTATTTTTAGAACAAACAATGTGTTGTACCCATTTTGTTCTTAGGTGATCTACTCTAATGAAAAGAAGTTCATTCTCGATGGGCCGGATGGATTTCGTCATTACTGGAGAGACCTTTTCCGAGAGCCACTCGTGTTTTCGAGGAGGGAATTCGGAGGAGGCTTTTAATGGTCTGGGGCGAGCAAACTCCAGCCTTGTCAGCGTGTGGCGAGTATTGACTCTAGGAGTCTTTTTCATCCTCTCTCGTATGATATACTCATTAGAGAGGATAGAGCGCCAAACGGTCGTACGCGAGACTGATAAACACATCTGAGCTCGGTTTGACTCACAGACAAAGAAGTACTCGCCGCAAGACAGTCTATTCTCCTGTTGTCCTGCGCACTCAAAATACGTGGACGGCTAGGAATAGGTTGTGTGCGATAGCTGCAAGGGTCTCGAATGAATCTAGCAATGCATGAAAAAGAGCGGCCCAATTGAATGTTCAAAAGTATGTGCACACTCAAAATTTTTCATTTCAACGGTAACTAAAGAGCCTACCGTAACGAAACCATTCTCAAACGACTCCTCGTAACCTTTACAACCTTTACAGGAATTTAAGAGGCCCTATTGGTTGCTGATCTCGGTTATATTTTTGTTTTTTGCTAAGTGTGCACATACTTTTGAAACAAAGAAAAATCTTTCTTTAATAAAGAATTGTGTTAGCAGCAGCGATGTTTTCTCAGTGAAAGTGTTCGTAGGTTGTCGCACACAAGGAATTGAATGGTGAAAGTCCTAGATTACAGAAAGCAATGGCATTCCCAAAAAAAAAACAAAATGATGGGTGTGCACATACTTTCGAAACGCACTGTATAACATGCCCTTGTTATGGGAGCCGGGAGGGGAAAGGGCCTCTCAACTTACCCCGTGGCAGGAGTCCCAGTATTCTTGTGCGACGATCCTCTCAAGAGGGTGTGGGCCCTGATAAACCCCACATTCTGCCGTGATCTGGGTTCAACCCGACGATGCGTAGGATCCCCAGGAACCGGGGTCGCGACAGTCTTGAACAAACACCAATTCCACCACTGTTATTTGAGAGGTGCAAATCGTGTTGACAGTTTTGAAAGACATAGCAATATGAGCGAACCTGCACGCTGAAGTGGAATTCATGGTGATGGGTTCCGATATGTTCGGCTACTTTTCTAGCAGCTATGATATCGGGTGACATATAGTCGACTCCAATGGAGAACGAATGTACTACCAGTCCACGGCGTGTCATTTCACGAGCAGCTATTGCGCTGAAGTTAAGTTGATTCAAAAAGGTCTGTAATCATTTAATTTGTTTTTGGCAAACCTGACAAGGCTCGAGTCAAGTCCACCCGAAAGCAGGATTCCAAGAGGAGCGTCAGACATAAGACGCTTGATGACAGCTTCAACCAAAGTGTCATGAATAAGTTTCAGATCCTGCTCATGTGTAGCCAGACGATAGTTAGCCCATGCCGGCTGCAATGCAATGTTTTTGAGCAAAAATAACACATTAATATTCGATATGGATGTTTACATATACCTCTCGCCTTGACAACAATGCAATTCCAAATATGGTTCAATTCTTTTCTCCCCAATATTCTCTCATGAGCATCCTTCCCGACGAAGAAGAGTCTTTCCAATTTCATCTCATTACTCTCGTTCATTGCGAAACTGCAACTATGGCTGGGCGAAACACTCCGAAAAACCGGCTTCCCCTGCTTATGATAACCTTCTAGTTCGTGCTGACGGGAAAAACAATTTGCTTTTATTGTGTTGTAATGAAGTAGTTAAGCATGAAAAAAAAAGTTAGGCATCCTCAGAAAAGAATCCACAACTCTACTTCTGAGTACCTTGTATTCTTACCTGATAGTATTTTACAAATCCTTTATGTGGCTGAAAGAAGTGACCAGGTGGAAAAATGGAAAGAATGTCCCTTCCACACACATCTTCAAATGCTTTCATTTCATTGCTGAAAAATAAGTTTGTAAGCTCTCAGCTTCTAGCTCAAACAACTTTGCAGCAAGTTTCTGTTTAGTTACACTATGGGCATCACAATTTGCCGAAGCCAAGAAAGTTCAGAAGGAAGAAATCTCAATCCGTCCACAGCTTAGCGTTTCCTAAGTAGATAACTCGCTGCGAATTATGAGTTAACTAAGAACCCTTGAATCTGGAAAAAATGACGGGAAAATTTCAGCTGCCACTGATAACTGAGCGATCTCTTTCATAGTAGTTCTCCAAATGCCACTTTATTTGCCTTAATCGTATATCACAACTAGAAATTACAGTGCTTTATGCTATTTACTTTATTTGGTGGCTCAACTTGCTTTAGTTCATTCACAATGAGCCAACCTAAAGAATGAAGGCGAATTTTATATTTCGATAGAAGCCAATCCTCTACCTGCCTTCCTGTGTCAAGCAAGTATACTTCGTCGAAAAATTATGGTAGTAATCGTTAGCGATGTGTGCATTGCATTTTCCACTATTCGGCGGGAGTAACTGGTCCGTTTGCCTACGATAATCAATATAATGTTCACTGAACTTGGTTTTGAACAGATATTCAGGGGATCAAGAGGTGTCGTGTTGGTGGGCGCAAAGCACGTGTGCGGTTTGAATCTCCGTTTGAGACCGGGATTTTGTCCATAACTCGATCGCTCTCAGTGTGACAGCACACATCCAGTTCAATTGCTAATGCATGCTCACAATAAAAACAATGCGGATGTACCTCATTTAGGTAACAGATAACGGTGAATATCGAGTAGGACAGCATTTCATGTCATGCACTCCACATAATACTGAAGAGAGAGAACGAAAACATGTATACGTGCATATATACATACATCATTTCTTGTAACTATTATATTTTGCAATATGTAATGCAAGTATAAACTTCTGGACAAAATTCAACATGTTCTGGTGTGTTCTGGTGCTATCCACTATCTCTCAAATTGCTGTATGGTAAAAGGACCGTGCGTAATGTCTAGGATTCACAACGTACAACCATGACATTTACAGTTTCCTGTAGTATACAGCAATTTGAAAAAATGGGATTTGTAGGCAAGTGGCTCGCTTTTGGGACACGCAGCCATGAGGAGCTGCAGGAGCAGAGGTATCGCGTGTATGTTAGACTGTAAAGGATAAGGTTTCTGCCATCAACCAATCTCATTCGTGAAGCGTCCACACATGTTCGACTTCTATTTGAAATCGTAGTGGAGAAGTAAATGCGCAGGTGGCCTATACAAATAGCTTGCATGGTATATTCGATTAATCAGTCAGTGCTGTTATTTCTCAGTCGAGTCTATTCATAGTAAGCTTATCCGAAAGGATGGGAGAGTAGGTTGGCCCGTATCCGTAGTTATATCCCTGGACCATGTGCGAGATAGTGACGCACTTCCCACTGCCTCATCTCCCTCGTGGAGAATCACAACTAGAAATTACAATGCTTTATGCTATCGACTAGTGAAGTGTATGTAGTGGTATATATAGTAGTTTATCTGCAAAGATGTCAAGAAAGGAAGTATAGCAATGGCGCCAATATCATTGATCGACCTGTCCTTGTGTACGATATCATCAACCCTTATCCTCAAGTGTGCAAAAGTCCGAAGAAGACCTGGTATGTTCCGAAGTGATTGAGATTGTAATTTGTAATGCCTATCCTGTGGTAAACACATGGCAAACAACTAAGCTCATTATCGGGATTACTCAACGCATGAGATGAGGGTCAACAACTTGTGCTCAGTTGTTATGACTAGTGTATCGTCAGCTGTGTTCTCAATTCAACAACTTCTATAGCCGGATCGTCAACAAAAGTCAAGCTCAAGGCAACGAAACACATGATCGGGATCCTTGTTTGCAACTTAGGAAATATAGGTGTTTATGAGGTTTTGTATTAGTTGGTCAATGCTAACGCTCTGAACGAGTCGACCAATCTTTAAATTTCAATTGGTCGCGTTAAGAATCAGAGCCATAACAAACCTGAAAAAGTATCGGCCGAGTTTGTCAATACCGTAGTACATCTGTTTCACTCCAATTGGGTCTCTGGCAGCCATGAACTGACCATCGAAACAAAGTGCAAAAGCGAAAACTCCGTCTAGCATGTTGCACATTGAACCATCACGAATTTTCTCATACAGAAAGATGATTACCTAAAGCACAGTCACGCTGATCAGTCAATATTATTGCATTTCAGAGAAAAAGTAGTATTCCCACCTCGGAGTCACAATTTGTACGCATTGTCATGCCCTTTAACTCATTCCGTCTCAGTTTGGCATGGTTGTAAATTTCACCGTTGTGAATTACCTGAACAGCCATACTAGTCGTTATATTACATCGTGATAATAGAAGAAAAACACCATCCTAGCTAACAATAACAACGCATCGATAGGTAATAAAATTGTGTACCTGATGAGTAGGGAACGTCCCTTGTATAGGTTGTACGACTCCGAGATCCATAATAGCTAGTCGTTCATGGCAAAGTATGTCACCAGTGGACTCCTCACGATAGTAACCGCTAAAGTCTGGCCCGCGGTGACTTTGACGTCTGAATAGAGGCTTTTCGGAGATTGTAATTGGCCGAGGAATCATTCACCTACCTTGACAGCTCTCTGGCTTTCTGTACATCAAATCGTTCAGTACATTCATAATGGCATACAGCAAATATACCACACATATCAGAAGAGTTATCTCTATTTTAAACGAATGGGAGGACCCGTAACCAATCTGTTTTTATAGATGGCCCTTGCGTCGGAGGCGGAGTCATGACGTGAAATGATGCGCAAGTATGATGAGTATCGAGGCTGTCATTAGACAATGATTGACTTCAATGAATGGGCAAAATCATAGATTCCAATGGTCATCCGGTAAAACCATTCGCTACAGGACTGTGACATGCTGGCGTTGCGTCCCAAACGAACGATTTTCGTGGTTCTCGTGATTCTCCCCACAACAACTAATATTCCAGCATTTCTAACTTTTCAGTCTTCTGGCAATTGGTTATCAATAAGTAGAAGGTCCCGTTCCTTAACAAAGAGATCTTCGATAATAAAAAATGAAATAGAGAATCATTATGAGGTGCACTGATAAAAATTGGTTTTTCAGTAGGCACTAGATAGCTATTTATTTCTTGGGCGCTGTCACGGAATATACCCTTATTTCGTACGCTCAGAGTTGCGCACTACTTGGTTGAAGGTATTATTAGGTTGTCGAAAAGGTATGTGCGCCCTTTGCAATTTTTTTTCAAATATATTTTTTTTCCTTCACAATAACTAACGATTAACAAATATATGTACCATCATTATCGACAAGGTATTGCCATTCATCAGGCAACTTGTGATTCCTGCTTACTTGGAATTGCTGAGGTTTCGAGGAGGAAAACTCGGCAATGTACGTCTCGAGTTGATTCACATCATCGAACTTCTTATTTGTCGGATGGTTTGACAGCGACAGGAGCAGATGATATTCCGTTGGAGCTAGGTTTGTTGAATACGGTGGATGGGCCAGAACATGCCATCTCACTTTGAAGCTTTTTCTGAGCCTCCTTTGAAAAGTGTGGGCGAGCACTGTCATGGGAAAAATAGACTTTCCTCAATTCTATAAGATTTTAATAAAACCTGCTGCCAAGATGGTAAGTAAATTCTTATCAACTTACGTTTCGGTGTTATCGCCTTCTTCAGAGTTGGAAACCTGAAGATAATCGCTGTTCATCCCTCATTCAACAATTCAACATCAAAAACCGGTTCCCTAGACCAAATGTTTCCAAATGGGCATGATAACCCCTAAAACATTTAACCCACCTCCATCAACAACCGGTCGTTTAGACGACCGCCGCTAAACTGAGACTTGGGGTAGCTTTAGGTGATATGCCCTATCCCTCCCGCCGTGATACGGAGCCATATAAAACCCACTTTGGTCAGAGAAAGGCGAGAGTTCACTAGCTACGGCTAGGCACTCGTCCTTCCTATTCATTTTTGGGGACCTGGCGTTGATGAAGAATGCTTCAAGTGCTTTTCGCGCCGATATGAGGGGTTCTCGCAAGAGAATCCTAACTGTAATTCCGAATACAGCACCTTTATGGGACTCTACTCTACTTGACCCTTACGCACAGAGGTCGCCTAGTCTTCCCTATATATTCTTCCTCGCATAGATTGCATGTGATCAGGTAGATCACGCCTGGTGTCATGCGGTCACCCTCCTATCCATTAGGGCAGATGACGCAATTGGGAGTAAGGCTAATTCGATCGTAGCAGCGGTTTCGAACCAGCCGCTGCCTAAGATTTTCGGATGGGATCTCGACCACACGTACCATGTCCTTTTGGCCACACCTGTGCAGCGCCGCCCTTATTTCACAGCTCACAGCATCACTAATATAGGGGATACGCAAGGCTACTTTATCCAAACTATCGATGACGGGGCCACGTTGTTCCTTTTTACATGATCCATAACTGTTTTTAGGAACTAGAGGGTAACCATTGGAAAGTGCGATCGTTCTTGCAAGCTCCATAGATTCAGTTTTCTCCTGCCTTCCGGATGACACCAATGTCGCCGTTTTAAACATGTTACTTGTGATAGCTCGCTTCGTTTTGACGGGATGCGCCGAATCGAAGTGTACCAATATGTTTTTGCTACTGGGTTTTCGATACCATTTGGTACTTTAAAAACACCCTTCAAGCCTGACTTGTGTATTGAGGAAAGGAAGCCAATTATCTTTCGGCTTCTCATTGTGGCATTCAATTTAGTGTTTTCTGCTTGTCTGTTGAGCAGATCATAACACGCGTCCATTTCCTCTCCTCAACAGACGACAAAACAGTCGTCTATGTAGCGGCAGTACACAATAGGCCGGCGATCCAGTAACCAGCTTTTCTATTTTGGACATATAGGCCATGGCTAGTACGGGTGCCAACTGCTGCCCCATGGCCAGTCCCCTGATCTGCCTATAATGTTGCTATAACTATGACTTATAATATGCTATGATCGAATTAGCCTTACTCCCAATTGCGTCATCTGCCCTAATGGACTGCATGACACCAGGCGTGATCTACCTGATCTTATGCAATCTATGCGAGGAAGAATATATGAATAGGGGAGACTGGACGACCTCTGTACGTCAGAGTCAAGGAGCACCTGGACGGTTTGAATCGAGCAAGGGTGGAGACCCCCTTGTGTGCTTACCGAGTAGAGTCCCATAAAGGTGCTGTATTCGGAATATTCGGAATTACAGTTAGGATTCTTTTACGAGAACCCCTCATATCGGCGCGGAAAGCACTTCATCAACGCCAGGTCCCCAAAAATGAATAGGAAGGACGAGTGCCTAGCCGTAGCTAGTGAACTTGCGCCTTTTTCTGACCTCTGTAGGTTTTATATGGCTCCGGTATCACGGCGGGAGGGATAAGGCATATCATCTAAAGCTACCCCAAGTCCCTATGGGTCAATTTAGCGGCGGTCGTCTAAACGACCGGTTGTTGTTGGAGGTGGGTTAAATATTTAATTGGTTATCATGCCCATTTGGAAACATTAGGTCTAGGGAGCCGGTTTTTGTAAATAAATTGTTGAATGAGGAATGGATAGCGATAATCTTTAGGTTTCCAACTCTGAAAAAAGCGATAACGCCGAAACGTAAGTTGATAAGAATTTTACCATCTTGGCAGCAGGTTTTATTAAAATCCTATAAAATTGATGCTAAGCTATGCCAAAATTTATCGAGTCGAACATGGACGCTTATGAGACTTTCCTTAGTTTCTCTCTTAGCGCTGCAGCAACCCGGTCCACAAAGCACACTAGGTCTCATTGCTGACAGCGGAGTTTGGTGGTAGAATGTTCCAGTGAACGATCTTTTCGAATTACTTCCAACGCTTGACATTGCCTTCTGAGGTAGGAACTCTGGGTTGGAGGTCGGGATTCCATGCTCTACGCATCTAAGCCACTGGCGTTTCCTCGTGTGGTTTAAGTAGAGAACACACTTCTCTTGCCAGTGATTAAGTCTTCCAGCCATGCGAAGGTGCGTCGGAAAGTCATCAAGTTCAGGCATGAATCCCTCTTCATTCAGAGGTGCTGGCCACCCAGACCACAACTTATCCATATCTCCGAATCCACGTCTTTCCGAGGCGATGCAAATGAACAGATGCTGTGTCGTGATGGCTGTGGGCTCCTGTTTCAGCTGACAAGTAGGGAACCTGGAATCCTCTTCAACCAGTTTCAATGTGGTCTCTATTCGGCTCAACTGTTCTCCCAGACATTGTTTTTTCGGTCTAGTCAAAGTGGCCATTTTTGAACTTGTTGTGCCAACTTCTTGTTGCGCTGTTAGATACAATAAATGGTCCTACGCATCGCACATTTTCCCTGTCGCTCAATTTGGATTAACGTTTTTTTCTGAACTTATAAAGTTAAGGCAGTTCGACTCGCTTTGAGTCGAGAGCGATTCTTGAAGCCATAACCGTTGCGAAATGCTACGACAGATATGGTGTGGAGAGCACATTGACCTGCACTTACACATATTCCGCAGTGAAGGCTCTAGAGCAATCCCGAAAGATTTCACAACACGGAAACCGAAATGCGCACATACTTTTCCGACAACCTAATATAAAAACCTTCGAGCAAAGAACCCGCCTCACAGAAGTCACCTGGAAGAAACGAAGTCCCGGTTTTAGTAACGGCTGAGCATGAAGGTTGACTCCATACGCAGCAGATCGAGGTAGATTCTTAAAGACATCCTTCTAACACTCGGAATACTTTGGAGGAAAACGGCATATCGGAGCCCACAGCAATCTTGAATAATTCTTTCTGTTTAAATTGAGATTTCAAACGATTAAATGAATTAGATATCAAGAATAAGATTCGGAAAACCTCCAGTGTATTTGTGCTACTAAACGACGACTTCCGTTTACTGCAGAGACGACCGCAAAGGCGATCAAGACATAATCGGATACCAAAAGGCAATATTCGAAATTCCGTTCAAAAAAAAGAGGAGTAATTATGAGGCGATTCATATCAAGAACGAAAATTGGAACGCCCGTCGATGGCGCAAAAATTTCGGGGATAAATTTCTGTATAATCTTCACGAATCTTTTTTGTAAAAGGAAAATTCTGGAGTCAGTGCTTGTTTTATTTCCATTCAGTAAACTTCAGATTACATAAGGCGCTTTCGCGAGGATACATTCCGTTTCAGTTATTCAGCTATAGTTGAAGCAACATACAATGGCAAGTTCGCAATAACATCAGGATTACAATAGGATAAAGTATTACATCCATACTAGTTGGGCTATGCGCGCTAACGCGCGCTTTTTTGACTCCATCGACGACTGCTTGTCTACGATGGAGTCATTCAGCGAAATGTTGGGTTATCAGAGTAAGATAGTTCATCCTAGATTCGAACGTTGAACTGCTGGAAGCATCACGCTCAATATGGTTTATTTGAACAGGATTATAGCGGTTGATCATAGCTCCGTCCACCTCAGTGCAGACCCTTTCCACTAATATTGACCACCCTTTTTTTAACTGCTCCTAACCATTTCCTCCGCATTCTGCAAAGTTTTTGAAGAAATGAGTTTTCGATCCTAGCCCCGCTTTCCTGTAGCAGCTCCACCCAATTCGGGATGACCACATTTGTTCCACCTCTAACCACTTTCTCCCACGTTCTAGAACGTTTTCGAACAGAGTGATGAAAATTTTATCTAA